GTACTGGTTGACTACTGAGTTCATAATATTTTTTATGTCCTTGATGAAATATATTAACCTCTTTTGATTAGGCATAGGAGAGAAAATAGTGGAAAACTGCTTGGCTGGAATATTTGAGTTAGTTTCTTTGGTTTTAAACTGGAGTTAGAACATCATCTTTCCCCAGTCCAGCCTACTGTGGTAGCTGCCTTCCCTTTCTGATAAGAAGCAACCCTACTAGCCCTAAGGGAACAGTCAGCTACAATCAGCAGAAACATTAGCACACATACAAATAAGATCTCCAATCACTTACATTCTTTTGTACAAAGTTTTATGGAAAGCATAAAGCATATTTCTGTCTCAGAAATTAGCTGCAAATGTTTAAGGATTTATTGGATGAATAGTTACTAAAGTTTTAAAAAATACCTTTTATCAGATAAAATTTAAAACTTTGTGGTGGAAGCTTCTATAAGATACAATGACAAAGTAGATTTTAAGGCCCTTTAAATTAATGTTTTCCAATTTTTTCCCAAGCTGAAGTCTGGCAAGTGAAATCTGTTTTAAAAGTATTAAATTTTGAATTCTCCATTTACACGTATGCCTAAATTTTTTTCTAAATATCTGCATTTTAGGAAGTGGGTTTACAATGGTTGAGCCAAGTTATGATCTGATGAGAAGATATGCTTGAGAATAGCTAATATACCTTCTGATGACATCTTCTGATGATCTTTTTTGTGCAGATAAAAAGTTGAATCTGACTAGTTTATACAAACTCTTAGAACCTAATCCCAAATCTACAGATTTCAGTATAACAAGAAATATCACATATCTTTCTCTACTAATTAATGTTGTGATAACTTTTTTTGGTTAATAAGGGGCATTTTAAGCACAAATTAACTTGGTTTCCAGATATGTAACTGCAGTAGGAATCTGTTGTGCTGCTGCTTAATGATTTGCCAATTCTGCTGACAAATTGTTTGCTGTGTCATATTCCATTAGTCTCGTCAGTTCTCAGTGGGGTCACTACTGGAGTATTTAACTTTTAAACTGAGAAGCACTTAGGAAAAGCATTTAGCTTAGAGATAGATGTGTTTCAATGCAAATTATACTAGAAGACATGAGTAAATTTATTTTTATTTTCAAATTTAGAGCTTGTTCAAAACTCTATGGGCTAGGTAATTTAAAATGCTGACCATAGAGTCCCTACTCTGCAAAACAAGGTTGATCTGTTTCAGTGAGTTAACAAAAATGCAGTTACTGTGTAGCTAAAGTGGCATGGCAGGTTATCCAAATTAGAGGTTAAATCACTGTTATCAAGTGCATAGAAAGCACCCCATCTTCTCTTAACCCACTAGTTTAGGTATGTCAATCTTTTAAACAGATGAGAGATTAAAATGCAACAGGTTTCAAACCATGTTAGATTAAATCTGTACTCAAATGCTGCACTGATTCAAGCTCTGAGAAAAGATGCAAGAAAGCAATAGAGTAGAATTCTGTAAGTGTCAAATCTTAATTGAAGGTGTTTTAGAGAAAAAAATATGGCCCTGGATTTGACAGCCTGAGGGACAGGAGGCTGCTGCTGCTGTTCCATACCCCCAAGTCCAAGCAAAGATGAAGATATATTCCCAGCAGGCAGACACACAGAGTGCGCACATACACCATTTATACACCCAGTTGTCCACACAGAGCACAGACACTCAGAGCCCTCCCATGAACACAAGCAGCACCAGAGGCCTCATTCTGTCCTCTTCTCTGGCTGGACAGGATGAAAGACCACTACTAGTGATAGTGGACACACCCATATCTATACATGCACTCATAATAGAGAGCCCATTCCCAGGAAAGAGTTAGAAAGGAACTTGATAAGTGGACAGGACAGATGGTGTTCATCCAGCATAGAACATGACCAGACAAGCAAACTATTTAGTTGTGACTGGCCCTTTTATCCCCTTTTATCTCCATTTCCCCTCTATCACCTAAACTCCTCACTTGTCTTCCTGATGGTTTCTCCCCTAAATGTCATCTAAGTCCTTTGCTGTCCCAAATTCCTTTTCCCTTATATCTTATAATTTGCTCTACATACCTAGACAGCAATCCCCAGCATTACACAGAATGCTGGGAAAAATCTTCCTCCTGAATCCTTGTTTTGAGTTCCTACTTGCTACTATAGACCTCTGTGCTCCTCTGGGCCTGTACAGATGGGTCTGATTGCCCTATGGTGGGCCTGGGTAGGTCTGTTGGGGTATTATTTGGGCTAGAATTGTTCTTCCAGTGTCTCTCTGAACTCTTTTGTGGGTGTGAAGATAAAGTTTATCATATAACCCAACAGGTTATGTGACTTGGAGGGTTTTGCTTCATAAAACAACAATTTAAGGCTGAATTGCACATTAAGTCCTCGTGTTTCACAATAACGAGTTCCAGTATTTGTCCAGAAGTGAATAGGAGAAGCACCACAATGCAAAATGGTGCATTTTCAAGAGCATGATTAAAAGACCACCAGCAAGGGAAGGATTTTTATGAACCCATGTATTGCTGACTCAAAATTTTTTTTCAGCTAGAAAGACTCCATCAGATATAATGAGGCGCTAATTGTTTCAATCTGGAAAAAAAACCCCAAACTCAAATGACGACAAAAGAAAATCTTTTCAATAAACATACATTCTTATGTTTTAAATAAAGGTCAGACAAACTGCCTTGATCAGTGGTTGCTAATATTATGTAAGAGTAACAATTAAAATACTTGAAGCAAACATAATGTTTAATGGCCAGGATTTTTTTTGGAAATAAGGTGCTGGTTCAAATAATTTATAGAGGTTTAAGGGAATTGGCCTTGTTGTAAAAATATGAAAAATTCTGCTTAAAAATCAAAGCATATCAGGGCAGCGGAGCAGTTAATTATGCTTCTTATCATTAGGGAGAGTCAGAATAATGCTGATTTAGCTGACAAACAGAGGATTTTCCCATACCCATCCCCATATTCTGTGTATGTTTGCAGAACAGAGCCATCTGAAAACCAGTAGGCTGATAAGTTTTCATAGCATTGCATTCTTCATTGGGGAAAAAAAAAAGTGAGAATTGTGTCTAAAGGAAAAAGCCTTAAAAATAAATTGGGGAAAAAATTTTAAACAGAAAAAATCACTCAGTTCCCTCCTCCTGGCCTTACACATCTTAGTTACAGGGTTACTCAGTTATCTAGAAACCAGGGCTATTTCCTCATTAAAGTCAGTGATATTTCATTGAAATATGAAATTTTATACAGTAGTCAGAATGCATTCAGTAAATTCTATTAAATATTGACATTTGTCAGTAGCAAATAGTGTACACACTCTTTGCAATACTGCAACAAATTATTTATTAAATTAATGTTTAAATGTCTGAAAAAAAAATCAGGACAGGATGGAGATAAATCTGACCTTCAAGAACTTTTGCAATTCTCTCAGGATTAAATCCACAGATGTTGAAATGAAATATGCTTTCTCTGCAAGCACCTGTTTTAAATATTTTAAATTAAAGTGGTTTATTCTGGAAGAGTGAATGATTTTTGGTTGTTGGGTTTTGGGGTTTTTTTGTTTTTTTGGTTGTTTTTATCTTCAGCAGTGGTTTCTTTTATCAATTTATAAAAAAATCACAGCTGAAATTGCCATCATTTGAGAAGGTACTCTATTAGTCAAATTCAAAGAAAAATAGGCAAAACAAAGGTAACAGAATGAAGGCTGAGCAGGCCTTTGAAGGAGTTTTGATAAGTTTGTATAACACATGTTACTACAAGCAAAAATTACTGTTCACAAGAATTTTGCTGTTGTAGTGGGAAGGTAGAATGATGCCACAGCCCATTTGAAGTACCTGATTATGTTTCCATGTTCCTTGCTCCCTCCAAAATAATTGATTTTTTTTACAAAACAAACCTAAATATTTAATCAAATAAGTCATATTATATGAAAGCCATATCAAACACACTTGAAAAATTTATTTTTTGATTTATGTTCTTTGTCAATTTTGTTTGAATATAATGTTGTTCCTTTGTAGGCAGCGTCAGTTATTCTTTTAGACCATAAAGTACTCTATAACTGAATAAAAGCAAGGTTTAAGAATATTACCCATTCCTTAATAGTTGAGGTAGTTTTTAAATTCAGTTGTATGCAAGTATTAAAATAAAAATATTAAATATCCCTGCTTTGAAAAGAGGTAGGAGTCAATACTTCAGGCCTCAGAACTTTGCTGGTTTTCAGTAAAAGCTCTTACAAGTACAGAAAACTTAGACATAGTGAACAGGAACAGGACACCTTCTAACACAGCCAGTCACATATAAAATGTTTCTCTTTAGGCAGCACTCAGATTCATCCCATGCCCTACCATGCACATGTACACACAGAATGGCTTTACTTGTTCTATTGTTAAAGTTTATAACTCATAGCAGAGGTTTTGTATGCTTCTGCAATTACTGATTGTACAAGTTATCTGACATATTGTGGACTAAAAACTCAAGTGCCCAATCCTCAGAAATACAAGCAGAGGGTTACATTATATGAAAATTCAGTCCCTTTGTCAATAACAGATCTGCTCATTTGCAGGGCATTAAGTATGTTTGTAAGTATTTGCAGGGTACAGGGTCTCAGGATCCTTCCACATAAATTCAGAGCATTCCTAAAAAAAAATTCAAGGAAAGGTATTTTTAATAATTTCTAGAAAATTGGCAGTATGGAATTAAGTGTTTCTTTGACTCTTTCAGACATCAAAATTAATTCAGTACCTAATGCCAAATGTTTCTGGAATTGATTTTCAGGCACAGGAAGAGGATTAATAGATTTTGTATTTTTTCAATTATTAAGATTGAGAATAACTGTACAGATCTGCTTGCTGCCTCTGGGTACATGCAATGTGAAAAAAATTATTACTGAGGAACTTACTGCCACATTCCTACCAAGATCTTTAAAAATACCTTTTGTGAATGCAAGGATTCTCAGTTTCAGTCAAAGTCACTGTAATATAAATTTGTAAAGACAACTCTCCTTTATTTTCAGATTCACGGCCTCTACCAGATGTAGCCCTAACAGGGAAGTGCACCCGAGAATGTGATGAATATGGCCACTCAGACTCCTGCTGGATGCCAGTCCGCACTTCTCCGGAGAGAAAGCAGAAGAGCCAGCCAAAACTCTCCACTTTCATGCCTGTTGATGAACGGGGCAGTCAGGAAAAGCTGGCCAATGGAGAAGCCTCCCTCATGGGTGACCGCAACAGAAACCTCCTTAACAAAAAGTTGACCTCATCTTATGAGACCTTCAGCGCAGCTAGTTTCAGCAAAAATGAAGAAGGCAACCCAGAGGATATCCCCCTTACACAGACAGGGGAATACAAGCCATCTCCTGTCAATACTCTAACTAGAAGAGAAGTTTACCTGTAGGCTAAAAAGCAGCAACAAAGTTCTTTCATAATATAAGAAAGAAATGGGGCAAAAGTCTTAAAATCACAACAATTTTAAGAAAAAATGTGAAACAATAAAGAGGGGGCCACCAAAGAGACAAAAGATCTGCCTGCCACTTCTGCCTCCATAGCAGGCATGTAATTATACTGTCTGCCTGACTATACTGTACAATGTAGAAAACATTGCTGTTACTTGCATGTCTAATTCCCCCTCGCTGATTTTTATTTTCCTAGATCTATGGCTGCAAATTCCTCCCATAGTAGCAAGCTTGATTAAAAAGAACACGACATACTGTTGTTTCCCCTCTGCAGAAGCATGAATTAAGCCACTCATTTTGTTTGTTTGTCATCTGGCTTGTTGAGGATAACAGGTCAGGGAAAATGTATTCCAAACATACCATCTGAATATTGCTGATCCCCATCAGGGACAATCCTACAGAAACCATAAAGATATAGGATAAATATAAAGGAATAATCATAAATAGGCACTTTGTGAAGACCACAGCTTTAATATTCTCACCTCTCATCTGAGGCTGGAAGCAACAGAAATACATTCAGCCTGAGACTGCAGTCAAAAACATGGCATACTTTCCCGTGACTCATGGACTCTGGTTCTGTTTATTCCATTGAACAAACCTGTCTTGCTGTGTCTCTTTCTCTCTTTCTCTCTCGTTCTCTGTAATGATTATTTCAATGTAAACACAATTACTAACACTTATACCATAGGATAGCAATGATAAACTGTTGAAATCATTATTTTGGGCAAGACTAACATTTAGCTGGGAAGATTGTAATAACAAAAAGGCCAAAGATCACACAATGGATCAGGGGAACTGCTAAGTATTGGGGCTTGACTTAGAAAATAAATGTATTCACAAAAAAACCACATGTACTCATAACACAGCATCAGTTACATTCTATGCAGCAGCACAGTTCACAAGCCCAGATGACAAATTTTTTTTCCAGTGTGGTTCAGTTGAATGCCCAAAGGAACTGATGCTTTTTTTGTAATGACATGATACATTGCAGCACATGCTGCATATTATATGCTGCATATGCTAGTTCCAGGGAATTTTTAAGATCAAAATTAAAAAATATTAGTAGAAGAGAAGGCCGTGTTAGTGGGAATGCTTGATGGGAGGGAAAAAGGTGGACAATAGGATAATGCAGTAACAAGAGAACATTTCAACTCGGATACAAAAGCTTCTTTTCAGACAGCAAGGCATGGTTGCTAAGTGTGGTCATCAGTGTTGCAGCTTATCAACTGCTTCAATTATGTCAAAGATGATGATAATGAAAGCTTTCTTGAAACCAAGTGCATTAAAACCAAGAAAAGTGCAATACTAAATGATATCAAGACTCAGAACATTTAGCATTAGTAAAAAATGGTCTGATAAACAGTGGTATGATACCTAGGAGGTCAAGAGGAGTTAAAAGGAGTCCAAGCTACGATATGCAAGAGCTGTAACAACTATCATGGTGAGTGCTTCTTGAAAGGAAGAGGAAATGAAACAGGGTTTTGTGCAATAAAAGCAACAAAACATGCAGAACATCAACCAATTGCTTTGTAGTTGATGCTGTATTAATAATCACAGACTGAGCTCAGACATTCAGACAAAAGTGACAATCAAACAACACAGCAAGGACAGCTCAAGGATGGAGAAAGCATTCAGATCCCTGGCTGTTGAACTGGCACGAAGGCATGGCTAGATGGCTCTCTAGTAACTGTAGTCATAATGTAGCTTTGGGTAGTTTCTTGCTTTGCAGAATTGCATAGAAATAACCTTAAACAGCCTAAGGTAGAAGTTGGTAAATCAAAACAACTCATCACATTTATCTTTTGAATTCACTTCTCCATGTAGTGGGTTGTGCCATTACTGGCCTTTACATTCTCCTCTCTAAAGTTTACTTTCTTCAAGTAACATTAGTTTGTGTATAGCAGTTATGATGAATGGGCACATTTTAGAAAGAAAATATTAAAATCAAAGATTATTAACGATTGAACATTTTTATGTTTAATTATTTAAGTAATACGGGGAGATGCAAGCTAGTACTTTGTTATGAGACTGCGTATAGCAGTTACTGCTTTGTATAATCTGTAAGTACCTGTTTAAAAATGCTTCTAAAAATGCTTATGTAATGTAAACACATTTTTCTTGCACGTTTCAACAGAATACACAATTGCATAACACAAATGTTCAACAGAACTTCCTTTAATAGGATTTTATTTAATATTACACACAAGAAAATAAATTAGGTAGCTGGGTTCCATATATTCTTAGACACTTTTTCTACAAGGCTAATAATACAGGTCATAATAGGCCTTCCGATTAAATGGATCAGCAGTCATTCACCAATTTTTGCACCACGTAAGACAGTCATGAAATAATTTTCTTGTGTGCATCTCCTTAGATCTAAAATGTGTGAAAGAATTTTTTAAAAATTCTATCTACTGTAAGTATTCACAGTAATTCTTGTGGAACTAGCCACTATTAATATGCTGATTACTCTTCTGACCTGGCATGACATACAAATATATTTTGTGTTTGTATTTTTCCTCTTTATTTGAAATAGGTTAAATCTGGTGCCACTCCATAAATAGAGTGCTTTTGTATAAAAAATAAACAAATAAAGCTATAAAAAATAATTAGGGTGAATGCAAAATATGCAACTGTGCCTTTTATACCTATTATTATGGTAAAGTGGTAGTTGGGTTTGGACACTGAGGGGTAAGGGGCTATTCCCAACTTTTTTGAACCTGTATATTTACCTGTGTTTATTTTCTGAGAAATTATAAATAATATATTTAAAAACAAGCCTTTTGCCAAACTCAGTTAATGGACCAGTCTTAAGCATTATTAACACAAGGCTGTGGTTTAAGTAGGTCTTGAGGATTTTTTTAACTACTGTTTGTGTGGGCTTTGGGGTTGCTTTAGTTTGTTTTTAATTTTGCTGCCTGGAAAAGTATGATCAGTCTATATGATAGTTATTTAGCAAGGTGTCACCAGTTCATGTTGCCAGGAAAATTGACATTTTTTTAATAGCTTTTAGCCTTCATCACATTTTATTTGTACAGTATAGAAATCATCTTTTTCTTTCCTTCCATGGGAAACTCAGATGAGCTTTGCATGTATTTTACATTAGGGCACCTTTATAGATTGATGCGTTAATATATAACTTTATATGTATTAGAAAGTTCAATAGCTTTGGTCTAAAATCTAAGGCTTAATCCAGATCTCAGACCCACTATGTTTATTGAATATGGTTTCTGACTGGCCTGCTGCCTGAGTTTCAGGAAAAAAGTTAAACATTATTTTTATGTGGGGGAAAAACTTAAATGGGATTGAAATGATTGGCTGAAAGGCTACCCTAGAAGTTGTCAAGCAGAAAAATCATGAATCTGGATAAAGATCTTGCCATAAATCCAGCCATCACCAAACACCAGTAAGGAAGTTAAACAATTAAATATTTTTCTTTCTGTTTCACTGGTGATAAATATACAGAGTTTCCTTAAGAAAAGAAGCAGATGAAAAAGCAATAGAAAGCCCACCAGTTTAGTTGTATTACTATCTGAAAGAGCATAAGCACTAGGAAGAAGACAACATTCACCAGCTACCTGGGGTATGCTTTCAGACAACTTTTCCTAAATTTTAAAGCACTTGCATTCAGTGTGGTACGATCTGTTTGTAATAATAATCATTGACTATTGTTCTGCAACTTGGATGTTGATAGTGAAGCAGAGAACAATTTATCATTGTTTATTATGAGTCACTATGCACGCAACTATGCTAAACATGGCAAAATGTATTAAACGCTAGTCCACCTCTATTTATGAAATATTTACATAATTTAATTTGCTTTTGTACAGTTTTATGTAAATAAATTGCTTGTCATTTTTGTCTCTGCAAATTAAAATATAACATGTTCAACTGGTTGCCCATTTGCCAGTTTACTTTCTTGGACAGTCTATTCCAATTTTACTAGATTAAATCACATGCTAGTTTCAATATTTAATGGCATTTTGAATAACAAAGATGACACTGCCTTAGTAACTGGCCACAGATTCAGCTGCAGAGATAGCTGAGGTTTTACCTGTCTTCTGAGTGAAATTCGATAGAGGCGAGGCTACTGCCACCCTGGACAGCACACAGCTATTTTCACAGCAGAGAGTACTTGTAACTTGAACAGTTGTTTCTGATTACTGATCAAAAGGGCTTATTTTAAAAATGTGTTCAAAACCTTCCTATTAAGTGGAATAACAAGCCTTTAGTAAAAGTCCATGTACTTCCATTAAAGACTGGCAATTCTCTTATTATCAACAAGGCTGCTATCTTTTCCAAGAAGTTTAGAACTATTAACACATCCTAAAATGTCAGTAGAGCATCTATATTGAGAAAAACAACACAATTAATGCAGAAATTCAGGGAAAAAAAGAGAAACAAGAGCCTCCAGTTCTCTCTGGCTGTGAATCAAATTATCCATCTCAGCATAACTGTAAATCAAGAACGAATCCTCCTCAAGAAGGAACATCTGAGAAGAAAAAGTTTATTCCTTCGCTGTCTGGATCACACATAGCTTTTTTTGTCCTTGTTTGCTTGTTTGTTTTGAAAGAGCAGGCTCCAAAACAGCCATTAAATTGGGATTTGCATCAGTTATAATATGTGAAAAAAGTGTTTGTTGGGAGAGGGATCAAAGGTCAACACTCCTTTCACCGCTCTGTGTTATGCAAAGTACCGAATTACTACAGAGGCCTTGGAAAACATTGAATGCAATTTCCCAGTAAAACATCACAGAAAGAGCCATTTATATCCTTTTACCTTAGTTACAGATTAGGCTTTGGTTTTTGTGAGTACAAACTGGCCAAAACTTTTTATAAAATAAACTTTACATTGCAAATTTCTTTCTCTGAATGTGCTTTAAGTTAACATTTTCTAGTCTGCTCTAATGAATGTGTCAAAGAAGATTCTTCTTTCCACAAGCAGGGGTCTGAATCTGCAAGCCTATTGAGAAAGTTTAGTTCACCACCTGACCCTGGATCTCTCATACTGCGCTTGAATGAGCTACCCCTCCGCCTCTTTCAGCAGTAACAGTATTTTAATGAGAAACTTCAATCAAGCTTTCAAGTTTATTTTATACTAGTTGTAGCATGCAAGGCATGACCTTGTGTTTGTTTGTCTTTTATCTGCATTTTCTTGTTTACCCACTGCATCCAGGAAGGTGATTACAGGAAGATAAAATAAATTTCCTGAGACACTAAGAGTGGTAAGAGAGGATGATATAAACTAGCAAAAGCAAACAATTTATGCTCCCCTTTAACCCTGGCTTCAGTTCTCCCTCCTGTGTTGCAGTAAATTGTAAATCTTATGCAGAGACTGAAATTAATAAATGTGACCTAGGCAGAAATAATTTCTTGCCTTTATTGAGCCTCCTGAGGGGAGTGTATAGAAGATGCTTAATAGTTCATAAATATGCAAATTATCTAGCCTTTGCTGAAAAGGAAAGCAGTGCTACCACTAGATGAGAGTATTCCTTAGTAAAATCATAGGATTCTAGTCAGGCAGTTCATACAGCTCTTTCTTCTGAAGCAAGTACATCTGGTTTAAAGACTGAGATACACTTGCCAAGAAACTGGGGGGCGGGAAATGCAAAATACCTATTCTGTACTTGTGTGGAATAGCCTCTGGGAAAAAAAAAAGGGAACAAAGAACAGCAAATAGGTACAATTTAATTGTAATTGGTACAGAATTGATAGAAATATATTCCTTTAGGACTTTCAAACTGATGTAAGGATTTGAAAATAGGGAGATATTAATGCATAATTTTTAGCTACCTGTGGTATGGTACTGTAATTTATAAGAAAGGATTCTTTTTAATTATAAGGCGTGTGATTCTATTTAAGGTAATGTTTCTAAAGATTTAGGCAATGGTTAAAAAATGTTTGTATATTAGTATACTTTTTTGTAAGCTTACTAAAGAAAATTCCAGCAGGCTTCTTCAGCATTCACTGAAGGAGAAGCCAGTTTCGTAATGACCCAATAGGCAAGATATACTTTTCATATTTCTATTCTATTTTCAGGATAACAACCAGCTTTTTCATTTTCATGTTATAATAATGAATGAAAAAAACCCCAACGCTTTTCAGCTGTGCTTTCAAGGATAAAACTGAGGGAACAAAGAAGCCAAGGTAGTATAAAAGCAGGTTTGTACCATGTTTACTACTCCTTTGGTAAATTCACACTCAGCAAAATGTAGTGTCATGAAGAGCGCAACTTAAATAACAATGAAATACTTAAGTTTGTCGCAATCCTGTCCACAGTCAGAGAAGAAAGAAAAGACTAGAACAAAAGGAAAAAAAAAAAAAGCTGTGTCTTTTTACTACCTATTTCTCAAGGATTTCCAGCATCTATTGAATTCCCCAAACAGCAATATTGGATTCTACCATTTCGCACAAAAGTGTGCACTTTTACTTCTTCCAAAGGTACTTGCAAGTTTTATAGCTTGTAGTAAGTCTACTTGGGGAAAATCATCTTCCTGAGTTTTTCTTCTTACATAGTAACTGTGTTACACAATTCCAGAAAAGGAAGCTGATTCTAACTGTGGCAGGGTTATGGCGTCAGTAGTTTGTTCAAAGTTAGTTGAATATATATTTGATAAGACAAGTAGAAGTGAAGAAATCAGAGGAAGATATTAATCTGAAAAGATCCACAAACTGCTGCACATGCTGTAATGGTTCATTATTTAGGCATGATTAGAAGACATGAGGTGAAAAAATTCACAAGCAAAAGTGGAAGAAGAATAAAAAAAGTTACGGATGGACAACTTGGCTAATTGTGTGTTTGTATGGCTGTGTATGTACACCTCTTGCTTTTGAAGTAGATTTTAAGATTCCATAAAATTCTTTGTCATTATCTAATGATTCCAATCCAGAATATTGGAAAATAAAGACCTTCACTAGGAGGTCCTGTATTTATTCTAAGATTTAGTAAGACAGAACAAAATACATAAATTAGCATCTACCATTTAGTCTGGCAGTGATGGTGACCACAGAGTCAAACAACTGGATAATTATTGAACCTACTTCAGCTTCTCTCCAGTTTCCTATCTTACATAAGCTGCTAGAACAAAAGTCAGAGCATTTTTTTTTAATTTTCATCTCCTCTTGCTGACAGTACCTGGAATCAGCTTGGCACCTACTTAGATTTTCTCCACCTTGTGCTAGACTAGGAGAGCCCTGGAACAACAGGTGATTTCATATTCCTTTTCAGTCTGACCTCTGAGCATCTGGCAGGCATCATGTTTCCACCTTTATCTTTAGGAACATAAAATTATGGTAGACTCACTCACATATAACTTCATGTTTGAATATTAAAAGTGGTAGAGCAAGAAGCAAGCCTTGAATTTAGAATATTCTGCAGCTGTGCTGAAAGAAAAAATTATCCTGAATTCCAGAGAGGATTGAAATACTGCTCTGTGTGATAAAGAACCAACCACAGGGTACAACCCTACAATAACAGGCTGTACATTTCTACTTACTCCAATTTGTGCCTTATGTAGAGTTGTAAGAAAAATGCACAAGTGCTCCAGGTCCTTCTGAAGTAAAGTGCTTTATATATGTGAGAAAGAAGGAATCATCTTTGGCCCAACCCTAGTAAGTTAAGCCTGTTTCCAATTAGTTTGGATCCCCTGATGAATATTCTGATTATGTTTATGCATCATCAGTGAAATGATGATGGCTAATTAACGATACATATAGTGTGACATGCTCATTTAGGAGGGCATAGAATTAATAGAGGGGATATGATGGAAATGTACTGGCTGGAGAACAAGGTTTTTGTACTGTAACTTCTATAAGGTGCTATAATATATTGGCTACAAATATTATTAAATATTAATATAAAAGTTAAATATTACTTTTCCATTCCAAAGAAAATTCAGCTAATCAAAATGAACATTCAGAAACAATTAAGGGTGAGAATTTGGCTTGTCATGGACTGGGGTCACATCTGAAAGTTACGGAATATTGTCTTCTGCACTGAGTGACTGCAGATAAAATAAATTTAATAACACTTAGAAAAAATACATCTTGTCTTTCCTTACACAGTGATGGAATTCCAGAAGTTTACTGTTCAGTGTCACTCAAAAAAGAAAACAACAACAACAACAAAAAACCAGAATGAAGGTTTAGAATTAAGGAAGGGCTGTCAAACAGAATAAATTCTTTTGCTTAAATAAAGATGTTGGTGCATCATTCAGATTTTTCACAGTTCTGACCTTTCCCCTCTAAATAGATAAGAATATAAATACTAGAAGATATACTGATTAGGGTGATCAAAATTATACAATAAATTAGGTAGGATTCTTCAGCCTCAATTCAGAAGAGAACTGAGAGGTTTGACAGTGATATATAGTTTTGCTTAATAAATCATCTGTGAGGCATCATAAGAAATTATGATGCATTGGATTCAAGATATATGGAAGTGTGTTTCCTCACACTGAATCAAACATAACTTTTTGTCAGAGATCACCTTTTGGGATGTACCCATGGATTTGGCTCATATAAATAATAAAATAAATCCCAGAATATTTCTAGTATCATTCTTTTTATGAAGGATGTAAGAATAACATAATAATAACATATGTCTGTTTCTCCCACTCTATTACCAAAACAAATAATCCAACCAATACTGAAAACAGAATATTGTGTTGGAAGTCCCCTTCTCTCTCTAAAAAACACTCAACCAAACACACACCAAAACAAAATTAAGAGAAACCTCAGCCCTCAACACCACTATTTTGTTAGCTAAGAAATTAAAAAACTTTGCTTCAGGAAGTGTTTTCTGATAGTTAATGCTTTTGATGGTGTTTCTCCAGGAGAGTGAGGAAAAATAATTTATGCCTAACCACAATTTCTCCTTGGAAATCTACAGCTGCAAGT